AAAAAAAACTCGCTCTGATTCAAGTTTTTCTTCCATCCAATAAACAGCCAGCAATGACTGTTCAATTTTCTGAGGTAGGCAAAATATTTCGACCAAAATCCCTTTAATTTTGCTTCAAATTAAGCAGTCAACAATACGATCCGAGCTAAGCAAAGTCTCACCACCCAAAAAATCATTCTACTACACCCTCAGTTGGTAATTCGGCAATGCGGCGTCGTTTTCGAGCCGACTCCAGCTCAGCGAACGCTGCATTAATGTCTTCCTTTCGCACTTCTCTACCCTCATCTGCAGCTTTTTTCATAGCGGCCACCACTTTTTGTTTCATTTCTTCGAAGCCTAAAAAACTTATTATAAAAGTTAAAGTCGAACAGTATGTCTAGAAGAGTTAAAGTATCTTTGACCCGAATATGACCCACAAATAATTCCTTAATGTCATTTGTTCACTAGCTTATAAGAAAATAATTTCTTACAAGTTATAGAAAGTCCAGCCTTTAAGTCGATGAAACAAGGGTTAGGTTAAATCATATTAAAGAACCTGCAAACAGTGTAATTGCGGTTTCTCGACCAACGGTTTCTACCACCATCCTGTCAACTTTACTATCTTGACTTCCGTCCAAAAGCTTTGGCTCCGCAGACTTCCTGTTGTTCAAAACAAATTCCTCTACACAGTCTGATACGTCAGTGATGAAAGGCACATCAGTATCCTCGTACAAGTTCTAAAAAATTGCAGTTTGCCGCTTCAAATTACCAAGAGCCATAAAATATTGAACATGACTAACCAAACAACTCCTGCATTTACATAGCCGTTCTCGCCAACGATAAGAACGGAAATAAAGTGCGCCAACAGAAGTTTTCGGTGCAACATTAGAAAGCCTCTTCAAAGCGCATTCCCCTTCAACAACGCTTTCTTTCTTGTAGATTTCGTCAGTATAAACACGAAGAAAATGCAGGCGATCTGCACATGACCCACAAATAATTTCTTCAACATCATCAACGCTTTGTGGAACGGAGCCGACTGATAAGTGCTAAAAAAATATAACGAAAAATAAT